TCAAGACTAAAACCTTGCCACCTTAGTTCTTTCCATAAATTAGTAATGCCAAATCACTATTAATTTTCAAACTTCATACCTATTTCGGCATCTCAAGAAATCATCTAGTGAAAGGACTTAAAAAAATTTTTTTTTTTTTGAACCACCAACCTCAATTCCAAGAATTTCAGCATTCTCAGCTAAAAACAGAGTCAAATGACTAGTGAGATTAAAGGGCGCCGTAAGCCACTTCCTGGGTGGCACATTGAGCTGTCCGCCGCCTCTCTTCCCAAGCTTTGAAATTGCCGACACCGCCCTCTCAAACGCCTCCGTGTTAAGCGTCACCCCATCTCCAACTCCCCCAAAATCAGTCAAATTGAACGCAACGGGCCGCAACCTCGGCATGGGTCGACCCGAACCCGCCCCCCTGAAGAACGAGAATCTAACCCCCACAGCATTCCGCTACCAGAGAAAGACAAAGACGAACACGGCAATCCAAAGAACAGCGAAAAGGGTCTTGTAATAAGTTGACAGAAAAGCCGGGACTAGCCGCTTGAATTCGAACCTCTGCTGGTGCAACTGAAACCGGCCGAGCGGTAGTATCTCCACCATGGCTTGTTTCAAGAGGTGGGTCGTAATGGGTTTTGGTTGGGCGACATGGAACCAGTAGATCTGTGGGTATAAGCAGTCATGATTTGGGTGAGACGTCAGTTATCAGAAGCAGTTGGGCATGGAGGTAGATTTTTTTATGGAATAGTGAGCTGTGAATTTGAAGTTAGGAGTCGGAAATAGAAGGAGAGGGACTCCGACGGCTCATCGCCGTCGGTGAGAAGAGAGTGCAGACCAAATTCAATTCGAAATTGAAATTCGAGGGTTTTAGGGTGAAATTGAAATGCACGAAATTTACTCATGAGAATTACTTTGTTAAAATACATGTATTTTATCCAAATTCAATTTCATTTTATTTAGATAAAAACAAACAGTAAAATTGAATTTAAGCATTCCAAATTCAAATACACGCTATCAAATTCAAGTTACCAAACAGAGCATTAGTGTTTTTGGCCAAGGGAAGGGAAAAATTTTCTTTACTTTACTTTTTAATTTATTTAGTTATCTTAATGGGAGGGAGAAAGGAAAAAGGAATGGAATGGAGGAATACAATTCCCTTCCCCCTTCCCCCTTCCCCCTTCATTCTCTTTTAACTCAAACATGCAGTTTAATTAAGTCTAAATATATTGACAATCTCGGTAATTTAAAATTTGTTGTCTAGATCTTTCAATTTACATGTGATTTTGATAATCATAAAAAATTAAGAATAATACTTTGTAGCTTCTCTCTCCTTGATATTGACAATTATTACTAATCTCTTATGACAAACTCAGTTTCCCTTTTTCAATTTCTTACCTCTAAATTTTTCAAATTTTTTAAAGAACAAAATGTAAACCTAATAAAAGAAACCCATTGTTTTATTATATAATGTCATTTTTCAGTATTCATTAAATATGTTGTTGTATAATATCTTCTTAATATATAGAAAAATTAATATCATATATATTAAATTTAATATTAGTTTTGATTTTAAAAAATTAAAATTTTAATATTATTTTATTTAATTAAAATTTAGTTCAATATTTTTATTAAAAAAGAAAAAAAAAAGAAAAATCTATTCAAGATTTAAGAATACATCTACTCCATTAAATATTGATAGCTGGATTTGTAAATTAATATCAGATTTTAAATTTAGGTATTAGCATATCTCAATTTACAAATCTAATTATTAATATTTAATACAGTGGATTAATTTTTAAATTCAGATATCAATATTTGATAAAATAGATTTTTAAATTTTAAATTGAATTTTCAGTTTATAAACTATTAACATTTAATAATATAAAATTTTAAATTTTGAATTGAATTTTAATTAAATAAAACAATATCATCTAAGATTAAAAATCTCATGCACTTAACAATATTATTTATTATCCACAATTTGTTAAATTAGGTAGAATAAATTTGATTTTCAAATTTCAAATATAAATCTCATTGACAAATGTTAAAAGAATTTATTTTTTATAAAATCTAATTTAATTTAATTTTAAATTAACCACAATTTAATATAACTTTTAAATAATAATAAAACTTAACAAAACAAAAAGACAATTACGCATAACACGCGACCTTATTCGGAGATTTTTTTTTTTTTTTAAAAAAAGAACAAAGAGGTTAGGGTAAAACCGTAATTTGAAAATATGGACACCTAATTAGACCGCTGGGCATTGGAGGTTCCGAAGTAAAGAAGCTTCCTTCCTTCACCCACACTGTCTTCTCTCTGCTACAAATCCCAAAACCCTGTTCACACCTCAGAGGAAGAGGAGAGAAGGAAAGCATGGCCAGTGCTTCGGCGGTGAACTTGGAAGATGTTCCATCCGAAACCCTTATGTCCGAGCTCCTCCGTCGCATGAAGTGCGCCACCAAACCCGACAAGCGCCTCATTCTCATCGGTAACTGACACCGGCAACTGAAAATTCTGCTTTGATTCTATATGTTATGCGGGCTTGCCTTTTTTCCCTTAATGGGTTTCCTGTTTAAAGCTTCCATTTTTCTTGTTTTTGCTTTTCGTTGGGAGTGAGCATACCTGTCAGATCCGAGAACTGGGTCTTGAGGGTTTGTGGTAGAATTTGTATTCATATTGAGATAGCCTTGGAATTGCGGGCCCTCTGCATTCAAAAGTCAAATTTGAACAAAAAAAATTGCAACTTTTTACTTGTTCATTGTACCTTTGTTGAAATGTACGCGGATCTTTGTCTCCATTCAATTTAAATATCAATGAAGTTACTAACGATTACGGTCTTACTATGTTGTTATGTTTAGATACATTGATAACTTTGTTTATCTTTCTTTCTGAAATCCTCTGGATTTGGAAAAGATTACGGTTCAAACGTAAGAAACTGAACTGACAATGACAAATTCGCTAATTTATTCTGTTTCTCTGTTTTCCTTGTTACTTGCACGTTCCCTGAAAATAGGCTTTTTTTTTTTTTTTTGTAGCAAATATTTTCAGAAACAGTTTCCAAGTCACTTAGCCAATCCTTGTATACTTTTCTGAGACTAAGAAAAAAAAAAAAAAGAGAAGCATTTTGAAAAACTCCCCGTGTTTGGCCATATGCTAATACTGTTATCATACTGTATGACTTGCTGTTAAGATTCTTATTGCAGATCAAATGCTTAATGAAAGCATGTAGACTTTCCTTTATTTGCCTTGCTTTTTACTCAGTGATCAAATGGAGTGTTATGGTTTTAGATCATCTTTTTGGATGTGATTGTATGAGACAGTAAGTGGTTTCTTCTTGCTTTCATTCCCCTAAATGGGGTGCGATACCCATGCCCACCAAGCTCTTGCTTTGATGGTAATGTGCCTTGAGCCATGAACGAGGTCATACTGTGAAAATCTTGTGATGCCTCTTTTCAGAATGTTTTTCGCTTGTGTTCATCCTGTTTGTTATTTCTGTGCTAGAGCATGCCCAAGAATAAATTATATCTTTTTTCACCATGGTTGGTGTTTTATGTCTTGGATATATTAGACCTGGGCAAATCTTTAAAAGGTTTACCAGGAGAGAGGATACTCCTGTCTAAATCTAGAGGTCTAAATCCTTTCTAAAGGTCCAAGCTCAGTTTAGTGAAGATTGGAGGGGTTAGGGACATCTAGGGTGTGCTTGGTTTAGGCATTTCCTGGAAGAAGAATCCAGGGAAGCTGTGAGCCACTCATTAATTAGCTTGGCTTAGGAAAATAAATTTCCTGGACCAAGCCACTTGCAAAATGGTTTGGCTTCCCCAGATTCTTTTTCTGGTTCCCTTTATGAGTGGAGGTTAGTCTCTGTGTGGAGGTTCCTGTGCCAGAACATGCCGTATAGTAAATTATATCTTCTTCTTACTATGGTTATTGTTTTATCTCTTGGACATGGTATTTGTCTCTAAATTGGAAATGTATAATTGGCAGGTCCACCGGGATCAGGAAAAGGTACTCAATCACCAATCATTAAGGATGAGTACTGTTTGTGTCACTTGGCTACTGGTGATATGTTAAGAGCTGCTGTTGCTGCTAAAACCCCACTTGGAGTTAAGGCTAAGGAGGCTATGGACAAGGTCAAATTTGTTTCCACTATATCTCATACATTTTGTCTAAATGGTTCTTATTAAATTAATAATGGCTGTTTTCTAATTATTTTTCAGGGAGAACTTGTGTCTGATGACCTTGTTATTGGCATTATAGATGAAGCAATAAAGAAACCATCCTGTCAAAAAGGTTTCATTCTGGATGGATTCCCTAGGACTGTAGCCCAGGCAGAGAAGGTATGTTCTAATGTTTAAATTTGATTATTGGTCTCCATGCAAACATTGAATTTGTTAATAATTTAGTCCATGCTCTTACTATGTGTCATAATCTTCTTCATCCAGCTTGATGAGATGCTTGAAAAGCGAGGAGCTAAACTTGACAAGGTCCTTAATTTTAAAATTGATGATGCTATTTTGGAGGAGAGAATTACTGGTCGCTGGATCCACCCATCTAGTGGCAGGTCATACCATTCGAAATTTGCACCTCCAAAGGTTCCTGGTGTTGATGATGTAAGAGAACATGAATAATCCTCCTTTTACTTCTATGAGTTGCATAAATATCTTGGTTACTGTCAATTAGACATACAGTTCCACTGTTTTCATCCTGAATAGGAGAATGCATTGGCAGTTGGTACTTTGTAGAATATTCCATTATTATTTAACAGTCTCAGGTGTAAGACAATAAAAAATGAATCTAAATAGATCCACCATGCTAGTGGTACGACAAACCATTCAAAATTTGCACCTGAGAAGGTTCCTGTCATTGGTGATGTAAGATAATATATTAACATGGGTAGTCCTCCTTTTACTTCTATTGGTTGTATAAATGTCTAGGTTACTTTCATTTGGACATCCAGCATGGTTTTCATGCCGAGTAGGAGAATGTGTAGAATCTGCTTGAAAATATTCCACAACCATTTAGCAGTCTACATGTAAGTGAATAAAACTTAATTGTAAATTCGTAATAGATCTAGATCAGATAGTAGCTTTGCTGTTGCTGGTTGCAATGATTGGCATTTTGAACTCTGAAATAAAATCATATGACTTGGGACTTCTGTTGTTTTCTTTCAGTGAGCAATATCTATATAAAAAAGAGATGTATTCTTAGCTTTAGACTATCTCCAGAAAAATACATCATTCTATGGAATATATAGACTGTTGGGAGGGTAGGGAATTTATCAAGAGACTGCTACATGCTTTCAGGTTTCGAACAGCTGTACTATTGTTGATTCTGGTTACAATTAACCTATGTTTAAACTGCTTTCTCAAGGTTCTAAATTCTAGTAGTAGTCATATGTTAACAAGCTTTCCTCCTTTCATTCATTTCATTGTCATTGAAGGTGACTGGAGAACCTTTGATACAACGTAAAGATGATACTGCTGCTGTTCTCAAGTCAAGGCTGGAGGCATTTCACCAGCAAACTGAACCGGTATTCTGTGTCTCAATATGGTTATGCATGCTGGGAAAGATCCAGAATCTTTTTAGGATCACTTCTAATTTGCATGGAATCAAAGCTTTAACCTTTAGTTTCCAGCAAATCAAGCTCAATGACTGAGGCTCTCTATGACCTTGGTGGAAATTAAGTATATTGGAAATTATAAGCATGCGTGGAAGTTTCTGATTCTTACACATGAAAGAAAAGAAAAGAGCTATTATTATAAGCATGTTTAAGAGTTCCTCATTCAAAATATTCTTACATTTATGTCTGTGTGTATATCTATATAGATTTGAAAGAAAAGAAATTAAAGGCAGCAGTGATTGATAATGGAAGAACTATTATTATTCTTTTTATTATTTGGTCATCGTGTCTATTAATCATGTATGAGGTATCTCTTGATGTTTCTTATCTAATTATGATACGACAAAAGGACTGCTGTACGTTAATTTTTTATTGTGCCTTGCTCTCGTCTCTATTGAGTTATAGTACCATTTCTAATGTGTTGTTCATGTTTGAAATTAGGTAATTGAATATTATACCAAGGGGGGATTGGTTGTAAATCTCCATGCAGAGAAACCTCCAAAAGAAGTTACAGCTGAAGTGCAAAAGTCGCTTTCATCATGAACGTTGACCAGGCTGCAAATGTGCTCATTCATTAGTGTTGGTTCATTTAACTAAGAAATTACTTATTTTTGCAAAAGTTTTTTCGACTTTTTTTCATCAGATATCCAGATGGACTGGTATCTTTCATTCCTTTTTAACTAAAGGATCAGCTATACTCTTTGTTGCATTGCTCAGGTTTTAACTTTGACAATAATGCAATAGATTGAATGATAGAACTTTTTTGGTTATTAATTCTTAGTTGCAATACTGCCTCATTTTTTTTTTACATGAGGTAGGTGTTATACTACAAAAGTTTGAATGGTATGTAAATTGGAAGAGCTCTGGAGTTGCTTGTCTTGAAGTATTTATAATGATGTTAGCAAAGTAGTATGGATCAGAAATTGAATATGCACAAGGCAGATGTACAAATGAGGGGGATGGGGTACTCAGGTTTGATGCCTATGGCAAAGGCAGGTCACCACCTGGCTTAGGTTGATGTGGGTTTTGGCGTCATAATACTACATGGTCTCTAATAGACATACTATCATAACCTACCCCGCGACGGGTTATGTTTTTATGTTATAATCTCCAAGTCAAAATGAAATGGCCAAATCTCCAAATGAAAAGAATGCCTAAACAACAAAACAATGCTTGAAAACTAATTTCCACATATTTGTATATGATTATTTTGTTTCGCACTCTAGCATGAACCAATTTAATTGTTTAAGTTATACAGTTAAAACTATACAAGTTTTTTGTTTGAATATTTGCCCCAACGGTATTCTCACGTCAGTATCGGTTAAAGAAACATTTCAGGGTATTGAAATAAGATAATTAAAAATGTTTAGAAACCCATACTAAACAAGTCTATGCTAAGCAATTAAAAATGCTTAGATAGGCAATCTTCATAGTTCCATAGGTTAGTTAACAAGTTTCACCACCCTAGAAGCTTCACCATTCACCCCTATCATCCGCAGTCATAATCCATCCTTTACCCAATTACCCATTATGTATGGCCCCAATTTCTTCCTGCCAGTCAAACACCATTCAATCAAGCTCTGCCTCACAACATTCCCTAAATAATCATCACTTTTTTTGAAAAAGTAACAGCTTAGTCATGAGTCTACAACGAATCTTTTCAAATAGGACTTTCGAAAAAGTCATACTTAAGCCAGACAAGCTCGTGAAAATGAACCTATGCAACGAAATCCAGTCTGATCAAAGTATCAAACATAAACTGCAGATAAAGTTGTCTGACGAATCAGGCATACAATAAAAGTACCAGGATAAAAAAACATACTCCAGCAGTCTCTAAAGCCAGCCAGCCTTCATATGATTGTCCGTCTAGCAAGACCAACCATGTAATCCTGCGTGTATTCTCTCACATTGCATTCCTGATTTTGTGAAGTATACAGCAGCTGTTATACTTACTGGATCTTGTAGTGAAGATGAACTAAGACCTACATGTCGACAGTAATCTTGGCATCAACACAAGAGAAATCTTGGAAGAAGGCCTTGAAATGCTTGTATGAATGTTTCACATCATCAACAGCACACATTTCTCTTATACTGTGCATTGACAATTGTGGAGCACCAACATCAACTGTGCGAATCCCTGCCCCACTTGCCAGGATAGGACCAATGGTTGAACCACAAGGCATGTCGTTACGGACCACAAAATCCTGTATGCATAGAAATTTTCAAATAATCAGGTCATCCACCACACCAGTTCTCACAATAGCCATACTATCTGCACGCACCTCCCAGTTGACACAAGTAATATCATGCTTTTTTCCATTCTGAGTTACTACCAATTTCCATAATAAAAGTAAAATGCCTTATTCAATCTGAGTTACTGTAAACTCACTCTCGGTCTTTTGGCATTGTAATCCAAGAGAAGCTGACAGCACTGAGGATTTGGCTTAAGAGCAATATGAAATTGACCATTAATGTGCTGTATTTGAACTTATAAAGGAAAGTTCTTATTCTCAACAACATTACCCTTTGATTAGTTTTCTATTTATAGGAAGAGGAAAAATCTATAACCCATGTTTTCCTTACTAGAATTTTGACAACCATAACTTTTATTTTTTTGCTGCATGATACCTATAACTTTTTAACATACTGTTAAAAGGATGATCCTCACCTGGACTGGAAGGCTATGCTTCGCTGCTATTTCCCTGAATATGAAAGAAGTAACTGCATTGGTTGCATAACGTTGATTTGCATTGTGTTTGATAACAAGTCCACCATGTAACTTAGGTTGATGGTTATCTTCATGTTTGTCCTGTGAAATAACACCACATTAGAATATTGCAACAAATTATCACAAATTGAAGTTATGATTGGTTTGCAGCACAACACCATATAATTTGGGTGTAAGGCATGTGCCATGTCAGCAGAAACAAGGAAACTCCTCTGAATTGCTTTCTTAAGAGCCTGGAAAGAAATCAAAACATCAACAAAAATCAGACCCTTCCTGTTGAGAGCAATTTATTTCTTAATACTGCAACAAAATTGCAGTGGGAAATGCAGAAGCTACAGTCCAACATGCTAAATGCAGAAAGTGCATATTGAATACAAAAGTTGCAATAGGAAATCAGCTAAGTTCAATACAATACCAAGTTGCCAACTACATAGGACAGCAGAGAAACTAATTTACTGAGCATAAGGAGATAAAAGAAATTGACAATGAAGTTACCACCTTTGGATCTGAGGTGAAGGAATTTGTTGTTTGCGAAAGAGCATCTAACATGACAGGAGATCCAGCTCCTTGTGCTGAATTAGATCCTACCTCCTCATGATCAAACAATGCCACCATTCTAACACCAGTCTCATCTTCGAGGTCGCTCTCAGAAGAGGTTGCGTCAATCAGGGCCTGAAATTGAAATTTATATTCTAATTAGTGAGAATAGCTCCTTTAAAATCAGATCAACCACCTTCTTCCTTTTTCCTCTTCCCATATCAAAATGGATGGGAAATATCATCATAAACCTGAAGTTCCAAAAAACACTCAACAACACAAAATGAACTATTTAGGAATATTAGAAGATAAATCACACGCTTGAGTTTTGACTTTTATCACAACTCAGAACCTTATCACTGAAAATAACAAATTTGTAGAAGTATTAAAAGATGAATGAATGTACAATGACTTGGGTGATTTAAGCAGTTCTATATGGCAAAAAAATCTAAGAATATCATATTCAAGGAAACAATCTAAGAATAAATGGCAAAAAAATCAGCATTAACCTATCCTAATTGACACTGGCCAAAAGGAAAAACATTCATAACTGAAATTCCATTTAGGAAAAGCATACCTACTCTCAGGCAGACACATTTCTGATTTGCAAGGATCAACAAAAGGAAACTCTGAGATGATAAACACCAGCAGTCTATTTATAGAATTCCCTCCCAAAATCAGGGCATGAAACAACTATATATACTTTAATAAGGGTTAATGTCACACAACTCCTTATACTCCCTAATTGAAACTAGAAACAAGTGCCCAACATCAAATCACCCAGTGTGGTTGAGAAGTTCAACTACCAACCTATTACTTTCTTGGAAAGGGGAGATAGATAAAACCAAAAATACCTTCAGAGAGCAAAATGACATGCAAAGATTATCAAGTCTTCCAGAAAAGACAAACTCCTTCATAGCACCTGCAACTATACTTGGTTGAGTATCACATGCTTGCAATTCAAAATCACATATGTCACCTGGCTGACAACCAAGCTGGTCTGCAAGCATCTGGAGGAGGGATAGAAAGGAAAATATATGATGTAAGAAAAATCAAGGTCCAACAGCCTAGGTAACTTCTAGTTAAAATGACACTATGTTTCCAGAACTATTAAACCTGCAGTAGAAGTGAGTGGTGTTTAGCAGTAGATTTCTTTCCGTCAGTCTGGGATCCACTCTCAATTGGTCCATTGTCAATGATCGCTTTATTGAGCTCAGCCTGAGAAAAGCATTGTGATGGATTATCAAAGGAAAAGAAACACAAACATTCCATCAATGTGAAATCTAACCTATAAATCCCATTTTTTCATAAGGAAATCAGATTTGTCTTTAGAACTTAATCAGAGAAGCTTTTGTGCTAGTTGCTAGATTCCATAATCCAACTTCTAAATCTAGCTGATTTCCTATGTATTTCATCAACTTTTAAAAAAGGATTAATCTCTTCACAACTTAAATAAGTGGATGCATATGTGCTTAGATACATATCCATATCCTTGAAAATTTCAATTCTAATTCTGTCAAATGATGTTGAAGGGCCAGAAAAGCCATACAGACTTGCATGATTACAAACATATTGCCAACTAAATAAATAAATAAATAGAGCCCAAAAAACAAAGAAAACAAAAAAAAAAAAAAAAAACAAAAAAAAAAAAGAAAAAGCAATAAAATATAGACAAACATTGATATGAGATTACCTTTATTGACGTTGCCAGGACTGGTAAAAGATGATTCTGAGTGTTCACCTTGAATCCATCATTAACGCCCCTACTCACAAGACATAATAATGTATCAAAATATATTAATTCTTTCATTGATTTCAATAACAGTAGACAAGAAAATTTGAAATCCCAGTCATGCAAAGAAGTTAAATCCTACAAGACCAATCATACATGTCAAATTACAAGCTTGAATTAGAATTCAACTAAATAAATAGAGGGAAACCTGTCTAAGTGAATAGCCAAAGTGGGAATCCGTATTATAGGCTCCTCGATCCTCACCAATCTATGTGAGTACGAAACAGAACCATCTTTTTCTTCTCTTATTATCACCCTGCCTGCAACAGTCAAGTCACGATCAAACCATGTATGCCACAATCCACCTCCATATGTTTGGACTCCAACCTCCAAATACCCTCCTTTTGTTACCTGATCAATAATAAATGAATACAAAACTTTATAATAAATAAATAACAACACCTCAGTATAAACAAAAGATCACCTTGGAAACTGGCTTGAGCTTTAGGCAAGGACTATCAGTATGAGCGCCAACAATAAGGAATCCATTTCCAGCAACATATCTAAGCATAAAGACACAACCTCATACTGTGAGCGACAGAGAAACAACAAGAAAACCTAGTTTCATAAATACACTAATTTTAATCATACCTGGCACATAAATTCTCAGTCTTTTTTTTTTCCTTTAAATGCCTAAAAATACAGATTTAGATTTATTCTTGTTTCTAAGAAATGAAATATTCTACTGGTGCCATACCAAGCAGTTATTAATCTCATTTCATAGTAGTTTCACATCTGCTAGGTCCTCAATCACAATTTTCACTACCTTTTTTCTCTTCCAATTTCTAGCTGACCAAACAAACTATAAGCTGAGAAAAAGTATAGAAAGGACAAGCAAGACAAAGGAGAGAGAGAGAGATAAGCATAAAACCATACTTTTTACCAATTGCAAAAGCAACAACAGTGGAGTGATTCCTGGTGAAGAAATATTTCTTTCCTGCTTCTAATTTCCAATCTTCTCTCTCAAATATTTGCTCATATCCAGCGTTTCTCAAACGTTTCTTTGCCTCCTCTATAATTCAAACACAAACAACAACTGAAATCATTAACAAAAATAAGAAAAAAAAAATCATTTTTGCTCAAAGAAAAATCAACAGGTCAAAAATCTCATAACATCCCTGGTGCTCTTACTAGACATATTCGATTCAATGAAAAGATGCTGATTTTCGCGGAGAAAGAATTTTACTGGCAACCAAACAGAAAATCAGAAAATGGAGAAGAAACTGTTACCTACGGCGTGAAAAGCAGTGGGAGAAGCGTTTAAGAAGCTGACGAGATCGGAGACGACTGCACCTTCCGCCATGACTACGCAGGTTTTGTCTTCTTCCTCCTACTCTCCCCTTTTATACGTCTACCGACGTCGGGAAATTCATTTTCCGTTACTCATACGCGAGAGCCAATAATCTGGGTCTGGCCTCGCTCAGGCCCATTGGCCCAATTATAAGCCCGTAAAATGAAGCGAAACTAATCCGGCCCATAACCACCGTCTTCTCTAAATTTTGCCGCGAAAACTAACTGAATCTGTAACTAACCGACCGCCTACCCCGGCGATGCCCTGAACGTTAAATCGCGAATTCATTCCATTTGTTTCCCCCCAAGAAAATCGAACAGATATCCCTGTTTCGGAGAAAGCTTCTTCTCCATCTCTAGTTGCAGAGAACTCGACCAAGCTTTCATGGCGAGAGGAAAGAACTTGAAGAATCCCTTCCTCACGCTCTCTCCTTCGGCAATCTTTCAGTTGTTCTCACTATCGCCGATAAATTCACCGCTGCTCTCTTCCAAGAAGAGTCCGAGAAAACACCATAGCCTCTGTACACCGCCGGCCATCTCTTTCCTCTTCCTTTCTCTCATGGTTTCCTTCACTTCCTCGGCAGTCGTCGTCCTCAGGTTAATGTTTCCTCCTCAAGATTCAGTACCGTGCTCTCTAACGTCTCCCTCACCTTCATCTTGGAATCGTGCTGCCTCATCTTCATACTTTCAGCTTCTCCTGGATTCAGATTCGGACAGTAAGGAGGAGCTGAAGATGGAGAACGGAGTGATGGTTCCGTTGCCGGTTCACGCCATGGTCGGAAATTTGTCTGAGGAAGAGAGAGAGTTTTGGAAGCAGCCGGATGGAGAAGGGTTTCGCCCATGCTTGGATTTTAGCATTGAGTACCGGAAGAAGTCTGTGAAAATCTCGAAAGAGAAGAGGAGGTTCTTGATGGTGGTAGCTTCGGGTGGACTGAATCAACAGCGCAATCAGATCGTTGATGCTGTGGTTATTGCTAGAATTCTTGAAGCTGCACTAGTTGTGCCAGTCTTGCAGGTCAATCTGATTTGGGAAGATGAGAGGTAAATAAACCTCTAATTTCTTTGGTGTTTGGAATCCAAACTGATTATGATTTTAGCCCTTCTTGTGTTCGAGAAGTCGCACCTTTGAAACGTTGATTCCCATGTCATGAGTAGAGAATGTATTAGTATCCTAAATAGGAATTCATTTCGGGGAAGAAACTTGTTTATATTCATGAAAACATGTTGACTGGAAATAGATATATATTGCACCCTTGTAATTCATAGGTGGCGGTTCCACACTGATTAATTGACAAAATCTCCCATGGAGTGCTGATGAATTATTCTGTCATGTTGGAATTTCAGTGAATTTCCTGACATATTTGATGTGGAACACTTCAAGAGGACTTTGCAATCTGATGTGCGGATTGTATCTTCTCTACCCTCCACGCATTTGATACCGAGACAGTCTATTCACAACCAGATTCCTCATCATGTTTCCCCACTTTGGATCCGTTCCAGATTCTTCAAACAAGTAAGAATACAGAAGATTTCTTAGTTTTTGCTGCATTTTGCATATTCTATTCTGTGTAATACAACTGATACCTACAATAGAAGTTGATATTACTTTGATGAGTAACTTAATTGCTTATGGAATATTCTGGGATAGAAATGATTTTGTCATACTCTTGAACCTTTTGGTTCTTTCAGTTGAATGAAGAAGGTGTCCTTATACTAAAGGGATTAGATTCTAAGCTCTCAAAGAATCTTCCAGCTGATTTGCAGAAGCTCCGATGTAAGGTAATTATTCAAATTAATAACCATAAGTTAGAACATGGCATTAGCCAATATCATTCTTGTACAGCCAAATAATATTTGCTGATTGTTACAGGTAGCATTCCATGCATTGAGATTCGTAGCTCCAATTCAGGAGCTTGGGAATCAGCTGGCTAGGAGAATGTGGATTGAAGGTCCATATATTGCCATTCATCTCCGGCTGGAGAAGGATGTGTGGGTCAGAACTGGATGCCTCACAGGTTTAGGTCCAGAATATGATGAAATCATCACCAGGACTCAGGAGACTGAGCCAAAATATCTCACTGGGAGGTTGAACATAAGCCACAGCAGACGGAGACTTTCTGGACTCTGTCCCCTTAATGCATTTGAAATGGCAAGGTAAATGGGAATGTTAGAAGCTGACTTTAGTGGTCTATTTCTCATTAAGATTCAGGACCTTGTTAACTGAAATACTTAAAATTTGGTGTTGCTCCAGGCTTTTGAAGGCTTTAGGGGCACCAAGCAGTGCCAGAATGTACCTTGCTGGAGGAAAGCCATTTGGTGGAAGCAAGGCTCTGCAGCCACTTGCCGCAAAATTTCCAAATTTAGTGACAAAGGAGATGTTGGCAAGAGAGGATGAACTATCACCATACACCAAAAAGTCCTCAGCTCTGGCTGCCATTGACTATATTGTCTCACTTAGCAGTGAAGTCTTCATACCTTCCCACGGTGGAAACATGGCCCGCACAATGAAGGTGAGACCTCCAAACTTCATCTTTATTATTAGTTTTATGTGTGTCAAGGCAACATGGTTTCTTATTACTTTCTGCTATTTTTAATGCGACAGGGTCACCGTTCTTTTATTGGTCATAGAAAGTACATAACACCAGACAAGCGAGCAATGGTTCCTTTCTTGGAAGATTCAACCCTTTCAGATACAGAATTCAAAAGTCTCATGACAAAGATGCATAGAAAATCTCAGGGGCAGCCTGAGCCTAGGAACAAGAAGAGAGACAGAGATGTGATTGCATACCCTGTGCCTGAGTGTATGTGCAAACATGGTTCATCAATTTTTTGAGCAACTCAAACAGTCATGCTTACATGCATGCAATCTGAGACTGATTTGCCCTTAAATCATGTACAGCATTCTATTCACACCACAATACATCAATCACTGAATAAATAAGCCCAAATTTCATATATGCAACATAATAGCCTTATGCATTACATGGTCTACCTTTTGCATTTAATTAGACATGAATAGATCAGCCTCCACCACAGAAACAGAATTGACTGGTTACAAATACAGATACAATTCTGTTACATATATACTCAGGACCCTGTTACAGGCAACTCAGCACACTTATCCCCAAGACTTTATGCCTGGTCTTCATCACCTTTGATGAAATCATGGTACCACTTAGCTGATTTTTTAGGGATGCGCCTGAGGTTGTTTCTGTAATCGGTGTAGTAAAGCCCAAATCTGACATTATATCCCTCAGTCCACTCAAAATCATCAAACAAACTCCAATGGATATATCCTTTAACATCAACCCCACTCCTGCAAAAGTGACCACCACGAACCCAATCACATTTTTAATTCAGCAAGAAGCCTATTTAGATTGAATACATATTAGTGAAAACATTCTTGAATATTAAACCATTTTCTCTGGTGCTTTTTCCTTGTAGTCTTATACTTCACCAAAGATTTCAAAATCAACAAGCTTGCAAGTGAGGAGCGCATCTAGTACTTAAAAGCATATTCTAGATTCTCATCTACGTACTTAGCTTTTCAAGTTAAGCACCTTTTAATAAACATGGTCAAGAACTTACTTTATTGCCAAACGGATTTGATGCAAATGCTGAGAAATAAAATCAATGCGATGTTGATCATTTAGCACCTGATCAATGGGAATGCTGTCATGTCGTCTCTCCACAGTCCCTACAGCAAAAGGTACCCAAGATATAAAAATTATGATATACAACTCACGAACAAAAACCGTAAACCAATAATAAGATGAAAAGGAAACATAAAAACAAGCTCCAACCATTCTCAGTGATATAGATCTTAGGATTTTGGTAGTGCTTCTTCATAAACTTCAAAAGCTTCTTAAGCCCCGTTGGATAAATGTAAATGAACTTGCTCCCACCAGGCTGAAACGGAAGGAATCAATATAGATAAGTACTAAAGAAAATAGGTGAGTCTGTAAAGGAAATGAAAACCAAAGAAATCCAGGTTTAGTTCACACAGAGAGGTCAACGTGCTCTTACATTTGGACCAATAAGAGCTCCATCTTTTTCCGCTGTTACAACACAGCAAAATTGATCACTTTCATGCATTCGTTTCATTTTAGTGAAAATATGTTTGTTTGGAGATAAATTTTAGTTTTACCTGTTTCATTTAAAAAATGATCAGCACTATAGCTGACTGGTGGAGCTTTCGGATCAAACGGAATGCTCTTTGCATACCTTGTCGTATAGTAATTGATGCCTATGAAATCAAAAGATCCTTTAACTAACTTCTTCTCTTTCTCAGTGAAAGTGGGTAGCCTCTGCTTCACCAATTTTCTCATGATAGATGGGTATTCTCCATACACCAGTGGTTCCATAAACCTGACAAACACCAAGATTAATGCAGTAAAAAGGGTAGAAGAATTTGCATTGTTCATCTCGTGGTGTTAAAAAGAAACAACAATGTTACATGGACTCTACATTTCACCAAACCAATTAGTGTCCAACACTTGTGGGGTTACCTTAAATCCTCTTGAACAAAAATGAAAAACTTATAAAAAGTCTAAGGCTAGCATTCATCTATGTTCTTCAGCTTGTATGTATGATTATCACATGGTTATATATGGTTTTGAGAAATTGTTGATGGAAGTTCATGTACTGACCATCCCAACTCAAAGTCCATAGCTCTACGTGCTGCCTTTTTATCAAGTACTGAATCTGAATAAGGCACATAATACTGTCCAACAAGGCTCAGTCCGATTTGTCCTCCTTGCTCTGCCTGTAAAATGCATGTTGGCAGTAAATCAACAATCTTATAAACAGATAGATATGGTTCAAAAGATCTGACAAGAAGGAGCATCGCTGAAGCAAACCTGGAACTTTTCCCTGTAGAGCCTAACGGCAGTTGCATGTGCAAGCAAAAAATTGTGGGCAGCAATGTAGGGTTCAGTGGATGAATTGCCAGCAACACACAAGTTCCTATTAGAACATCTTGTAGGTGGAGCTAACCCCCAGTCATACCCATGTTTGGCAATAATCAGTGGTTCATTGATGGTAATCCAATTCTTAACCCGATCTCCAAATGTTTTGAAACAAATTTCAACATAGTGCTTGAAATCATCCCTAAAAAATAAATCAGTGGAAAGCTTCAAATTAGTTACTACAAGAAGAGGAAAAAATAAAGGGGTTAATTTGTTTAGAAGATACTACTTACAAAATGGAGCTGTCTAAGAAGCCACCATACTTCCTTTCAAGGGCTTCCGGCCAGTCAAAGTGGAGGAGTGTCACAAAAGGTGTGATGCCTACAATTCAAGCAGAAACATGTAACTAATTTTTGTCATGAAACCCTGAATCACAGAGATTTGAACAGCAACAGATTTTCACCTTGTTTAAGCAATTCGTCAATGAAGCTATTATAGTGATTGATACCCTCCTGGTTTATTCCTCCACTCAAGGACCCATCTAAGCAAAATCACCATACATTTTTCAATTAATCAGTTTTCTTAAAAAGAACAGAAGAAATGGATAAATAAGGATGAAGCCAAAAACATTACTGGGTAGAATCCTGGTCCATGAGATTGAAAACCTTAGAGTGTCGGCACCAATTTTCTTAATGTCCAATATATCTTCCTACGAAAACATTCAACATTAACATTTTAGCATGATTCAACAAATTTTTTCGCCCTTAATAATGAATCCAAACAGTCACCTTGTATCGCCTGTATGAATCAATTCCTGTATCCAAGTTACTTCCATCCTCAATTCTATCTGATGAAATTCATAAAACAGCATCAGAATATATTTCAAATCTGTCAAAAAGATCAATGGCTAAAGACACGTAGAGATCTTGAGAAGTCTGATGTTTGAATCCTATTTCCACTGCTCGTATTTGCTATATTTCATTTGATGATGGACTATAGAATAGAGCATAACCTCCCACTCATTCCAAAATTTGAACTTAAAACCATCAATATAGAAGCTCAAGACTTT